TGAAACGCTTTCAGCCAGCGGTTGCAGCTCCGACTCCGATTCCGAAGAAGGATGATCGTCGTCGGATTGCGGCGGCTTGGAGAGGCAGGACATGGCTTCCAGTTTTGCTAGCTTCGCTTGCTTCCTTCCGTCCTTCCTATCGAAGAGCAACTTCCTGCGAGGAAACCTACGATCGGGGAATCGAAGAAGACAGTCGTGAAGGAGACGGAGAAGAGAAAGGGAAGGAGAAGAAAGGGAACTGTTTGGGTTTGGTTTTGGCCTTTTGGGATTAGGATTTTTTTAACTTTGTTCTGGGAGTGTTCGATTTTGTTTTCGCATTTTATTTTATTATTTATTTTCCCTCGCTTATTCCTATGATTAATTAAGAGCCGTTCAGTTAATTAATGTTTTATTTCATGATTGGGTTGTTTATCAACGGATTAGGCTGTTATTAATCAAGTCTGTAGACTGTAATCTTCTACGAATCCCTCCCACAAGAGTAATTCTACTTAGATATATAGTGATTTTCTCCTCTTTGCATTCGTTATCTTCATGTAGCTTAGCCTTCAAGAAATTATTTTCCTTCTTCAAGAGTAACATTCTTAAACTAAAGTTGTGAACATTTAATGGAGGCATGGCTAGACATTGGTGATAAATAAGATTTTTTTTTTATATGGACGATGGATGAGAATTAACTATCGACCGTTATAATGGAGGCATAGACCATATAGGTTTATGCGGTGTTTTTTTTATATATATTAGGTTGCGATGCCGCGTCTTGTCGTGAGGTAGAGATGGTCTATAGGCATGTATTATGTGGTTTGTTATGGTATTTTTTTAGTATTATTAGCGTAAAATTAATTTTTTATTAGCAGTTTTGTTAGTAATATTGACTTGACAATATAATATTTTACTAAGAAAATATATATGGCGGTCAACATCCAATTTTTTTTTTTAATTTGACTAATAAATTATATTTACCTAAACCCAAGTAGACCCATTGATTATGGGTAGGGTATGGGTGACGTATATATGGGTTTGGAAGTTTGTAGATGGATTTGGGTAGGGTATGGATATTTACTTCCATAATCTAAATATGTATGAGTTGGGTATGGATACCCATTTATTCGAGTGTGTTTTAATTATACATATAAAAATTAGACCTATTTGTAGAACTGCAAAAGTTTAGGCACCAAAATGCAGTACACAAAAATTTTAGGTACTAAAATATAATGTTTCATCAATATTTGGAGGACTTATATGCCAAAAAAATTATATTATAAATCTAAAGATTTATTAAGTTTAGGTATTGAACTGTAATTTGTATAGTTGAGGCTTGTTTCCTATGGTGATGTATTTAGATGATAATTATTTACCTTTTTATGCAAAAATGGAAAATATTTATTTGATATGTGTAGATACCTAACCAAACATTCCATGTATAATTGTTGAAAATTCTATCACAGTTGAAAAAGAAAAACGCTACAGAGAAGAAAAAGGAATATAAACTGAAACTCGCTTATAATTTCACGCTTCAAATTACATAGTGGAAAATGACCACTTTCCAATAAGTAATAACCATATATATTTATTTTTAATTGGACTCGACATTGAGGTGAAAAAGTTAGTGGTTCATGGTTCAATTATTAATTTTCAAGACTGTTGGTGAGTCGTGTATGAACCCGTTCATACTTGTCATTAGAATATATAAAAATAGTATATTAATAAGGATTATTTTTAACATTTCACGTAATGTGCAAATATAAAATGGCTGAATCTTCTGCTACAATTGAGTGATACAACATCTGGTATGGTACAAACTAAATTTATACTTTTATGTTATGGTGGATTGGATTCATGGATTGGATCAAAAGGATTGGTGGATTGATTCATAGATTCAAGTGAAATCTAAATATTGGACCAATATGTAAATTTAAAAAATTGTAGGTATGAAAATCTCATAAAATTTAGATAAAATTGCTGAATCTTCTCCTATAGTTGAGTGATGCAACATCTTGTATGGTACAAATTAAATTTATACTTTAATGTTATGGCGGATTGGATTCATAGATTGGTTCAAAAGGATTGGTGGATTGGATTCATAGATTCAAGTAAAATCTAAACATTGGACTAATATATAAATTTAAAAAATTGTAGGTATGAAAATCTCATAAAATTTAGATAAATTGACCGAATCTTCTCCTATAGTTAAGTGATACAACATCTTGTATGGTACAAACTAAATTTATACTTTTATGTTATGGTGGATTGGATTCATAGATTGGTTCAAAAGGATTGGTGGATTGGATTCATAGATTCAAGTGAAATCTAAACATTGGACCAATATATAAATTTAAAAAAGGGCTAATACCACTATGAAACCCGAACTATTAACTTTGTGTCATTTGTGTCCTAAAGTATTCGATATGACATTTGTGTCCTAAACTATTTTTCCGTTAGAGTTGACTGGCGTTGACCGTTAGTTTTTAACAGAAAGTCTAATCAGCGCTTATGTGGCACCTGACGTGGAATTGATAATATTAATTTATAATTATTTTCAAATATGGAATTTTTAATATTAATTTTTTTATTTTTCATCTTAATTATTAAAAGAAAATAAAAAAAATTACAAAATCCCCAAATCAACTCCGTCGATTCCACTCCTAAACCTCCGTTGCACTTCTCCTCTGCCATCGTAGTCTCGCCCTTCTACACTTTTCCTATCAATGAAACAAAATTCCAGACTACTGCTTTGCCCTGAGTCCACTTGCAGAAGGATCTGCTTCCCCTATGCTCTCCAAGCCGTCCCCACCAGACACCCTCCTTCTCCTACCTCTGGGCATCGCAATTTTAGAGCAAATACCCACTCGTCTCTTTACTCTTCCGACAGCTGAGGAGTGGGAACGGGGCTTTCTATTCAGTAAACGCAGATGGTGACGCACAGCGGCGATGCAGATGAGCGGGAAGGCGCGGCGGCTGGAGATCTGCCAAGATTCATCGCCTGCACTGTAACAAACTTCGACGAAACTGCCGCCCTCTCGCCCATTTCGTCGATTTCTTCCTTGAAACACTCCGATTATGGTAGAATTTGGCTCCCTCTCTCAGTTCCACGCTCTGTACGAGGGGTCGCAGTGGTCGGCGATTGATTGTTGTCATCGTTCTCCAGATCTCTCGCTGCTCCAGATCTGCTCCAAACCTCTCAATCTCTCTGTCATCATCGTTGGGTCTCGCCGAGCAACAGGGGATTGCGACGGAAGTCGCTTGTGGTCGGTGATAGAGGGGAAGTCGCCCGCCGGCTCCAAATCTACGCTCCCAGGTTTGTATTGTAGTGGAAGAGTCGGAATTGACATTGGGTCCAAACGATGGAGGGACTGAACGACTCTGGTCCTCCCCATTTCCTGAAGAAGACTCATGTCGATTGGAGCTGGGAGCTCTGTCGGAGAAGAAGAAGTCAACGAGAAGGAAGGGATTCACGTCGATTGGAGCTGGAGCTCTGCCGGAGAAGAAGAAGAAGAAGAAGAAGAAGAAGAAGAAGAAGAAGAAGAAGAAGAAGAAGTCGACGAGAAGGAAGGGATTCACGTCGATTGGAGCTGGAGCTCTGCCGGAACAGATTTTCAATTTTAAGTTTTCTTTGTATTTTGTATTTTGTATTTTAATTGTTAATTTAAAAATAACAACCTGATGTGGCAGCTGATGTGGCGCATACATGGTTGCACATATGTACCATGTAACCAACAGTTAACATTTTATGGTTGACCGTTTGATCAACCGTTATCTATAACGGTCAACAAAATTGTTAGGACGTAAATGACACAAAACAACCAAATGTTGGGACACAATTGTCATATCGGATACTTTATGACACAAATGGCACAAAATTAATAGTTCAGGTTTCCCCGTGGTATTAGCCCTTTAAAAAATTATAAGTACGAAAATCTCATAAAATTTAGATATCAAAACATAATTGTCCAATGGGATATCAAAATGTAAAATATTACTGACTAATTTATAATTTTTTATGCAACAGTAATTGCACTTCAGCTTTAGAAATATATTATTATGTCAAATGGTGGTGCATAGCAATAGAAATATAGTAATCATCACCTAGTAAGTTCATCAAGCAATATGCAATAGATTCCACAACATAATTTTTTGTTAAGCTAGCTTTGTGATCGGCCTGTTGTCTAATTGAGAGTATGTTATTATGCATGTTAATCCATCAATCACACTGATTAACTCTTTAATGCATCTTGTGTCAATATTCTGAACCAAGATACCAAATTCATTATCATACATACTATACACTGAAAATGCTCTCGACTGCTCTGATTGCCCAGCCCGCTCCGGCGCCGGTGGTTTCTGAAACTGGCCGACCGCCGGATACGGGACAGACTCTTGACACGAGGACTGATAGTGCCCCGACCATGAAACCGGCAGAGCAGCCCTCGGCGACAGCTATGATGGTGGACTCAACCGTCGTTGACGACCACCTTGGATCTAAGGCAGGAGTGACGGAATCGAACATCAGCCCAGACAACCAGGAAACTCTCGTGATCTCTTCCTCGCCTCAGGGGTCGACGACACCGAAACAGCCGTTCTCTTATGCGAACGTCCTCACGGGAGGTCCGATTGCCCCTAATTCGCATACTTTGACGGTTCAATGGACCCCAGTTGGGGAACACGACCTGATCCCCGGTGAGCATAATGGCGAACCAGCTCTGAGAATCTCCTCAGAGTTTAAGAACAAACTGTGCGCTCCGTGGCATCGAACGTTGGTGGTACGGATCCTTGGCATTAAGATCGGCTTTCATACCCTTTGCTCTCATCTCAAGGCGCTATGGCGGCCGACTGGAGCTATGGAGGTCAGGGACCTTGATGAAGCCTGCTATTTGGTGAAGATTAACAATGATCGGGATTATTTCAAAGCCCTCACAGATGGACCATGGATGATTTTTTATCATTACATGGTCGTTCAGCAATGGACGCCAAGATTCAAGGTCTCGGATCCTCTCCCAAAGACGATGATAGTTTGGGTTCATCTTCCCGAGCTGAAAATTCACTTCTACCACAAGGAGGTTCTGACTACCTTGGGTAACTTGATTGGACGCACGATTAAGCTTGATTACCATACCCTCACCCAACAAAGGGCAAAGTTTGCTCGGCTTGCAGTGGAGGTCGATGTTTCCAAGCCTCTCGTTCCTAGGATTTGGCTGGATGATGACTGGCAGCCCGTTGAGTACGAGAATCTTCCTGTCGTTTGCTATGAGTGCGGGAAAATTGGCCACTCTACTACGACTTGTCCCCTGCTCCGGTCGGTCTCTGTCACAGTGGCGGCGGATATCGTCGCCGACGGCTCACAAGCTCTCTCGCCGGACGTTTCGCAGGAAACGAACGCGGGATTCGGCCCGTGGATGCTAGTCTCGCGGAAAGGGCGGCGGAACCCAAGGGAATCACTCAGCAAAGGAAAGGAGAGAGATTTGGGGAACACCACTAAAGGAAAGGAACGGGAATCGGGGGATCACCACCATGGGGTCTTGGCCAAGAATGGAAAGAGCACATTGAAAAACAAATATCCGGAGAATACCTTACCGGTGGTGGCGCTTCAGAGTCCGCCGCGACAACAAAGAACCTCGGCCCAGGAAAGGAAAGAAAAGGGAGGCAAACCTAATGGGGAAGGAAGAAGGAACGACAAAGAGGTTGTGAGGGAGGAGGGCCCTCCCGTTGGAAAAAGTTTACTGGGCCCTGGCCCATCTCAGGAGGTGACGTTTAAAACGGGACCAAAGCCCACCGTCGATGCCTCAGCTCCTCCAACGTCCATCTTTCAAGCGGCCTCATCTTCCTCGCCAACGAGTTGACCGGCTGGTGGGAATTTTAATGGGCCAAGTGTTACAGCTAGCTCACCTGCTTCTTCTTCCAGTCCCCCTCAACGACAGTTACTATGGGCCCGAACGGAATAGAGATGCAAGTGGTCCAGGTTCCTCCCCAGAGTGAAGGGTCTCAACGCAGGAAAGACTTCTCCTCCCCGTCAGCGGCAAGCAGAACGAAGGGGAAGAAGAACTCCAAGGATCGAACAAAGAAAGGATCGCCGGCGAAGCTCAATCCCATCCGCCCTCTCGAGATATGGTCCCCGATGAAAGACAAGAGAACCAAAGCGAAGACGAGGATGGCATCGCTCACTCTCCAGGAGATTAATGCGTGGACAGAAGCAGCTCACTCGTCCGCGAGACACACGACAGCTGAAGGAGGTAATGATGCTCCAGCCTCGGCTTTGGGACACAGGGTTTCGCTGGGTGATCCGCCTTCTGCAGCGGTCTAATTGAAGCGATCGCCTTCTTGGGATTGCGACTGTTGCCCTTTTGTGTTTTCCTTGATCTGGGCCATTTCTTCTTCCGTTCTTCTACTTTAATTTTTGCTATGTCTTTTAAACCTTTAGTTAAGATATTTTCATGGAATGTTGGTGGTGCAGGTAGTAAAGCCTTTGTTCGAGCACTGAAATTCAGTATTCGTCAACATCGACCGGATTTTGTGATACTGTTGGAGCCGCAAATCAGCGGGAGGTCAGCTGATTTGGTCTGTGATAAGCTCGGATTTCCGAATTCCATTAGAGTGGATGCTGAAGGCCGGAAGGGCGGTATTTGGATTTGCTGGGATGGCGGGCGTTTCTCCACAGAGCTTTTGTCGGCCTGCAATCAACACATTTCCGTCCGCGTTCAGCAAGTAAGGGGTCGTTCGTGGGTTCTGACCGCCGTCTATGCCTCACCTCGGCAACATCTCCAAAAGCCTCTCTGGGACAGCCTTATCGATCAGAGCAAGAGGATTGAGGAGCCCTGGATTCTAACGGGGGATTTTAATGCTATCCGTTCCCTCGCGGAGAAATCTGGCTCTTCCTCAGCCGCCACGATTAGGAAATGCCGGAAGTTCAATGACAGGATTAATATGGCCGAGCTGATCGATCTTGGCTTTTCAGGCTCGAGGTACACGTGGACTAGGGGAGACTCATTTCAGACTCACAAAGCCAGCAGACTAGATAGAAGTCTGTGTAATCTGCAATGGAACGAGTGCTTCCCTACCACTACGGTGCTTCACCCTCCCCGCCTTCATTCTGACCACAACACTATTCTGGCCATAGTGGCTACCCAGGAGCCCTCCTCGACCGACTCTCGTCCCTTTAAATTTGAGGCGGCCTGGCTCACTCATAATAACTTCCAGGATTTTGTTGCAGGTACCTGGGAGGAAGATGCTCAGCTTCACCAAGCCCTTACCTCGTTGGCGGAGAAGCTTAAGGAGTGGAACATAAATGTTTTTGGTAATATTCAACAGAAGAAGAGGAGGTTGTTGGGAAGACTGAAAGGGGCTGAATCCAGGCTTTCCCACACTTTCTCCCCAGCTCTGGCGAAGCTCCACTCCAAGTTAGAAACGGAGCTTGACAAGGTGCTCGAGCAGGAAGAGCTCCTTTGGTTTCAGAGGTCCAGAGAGCAGTGGGTGAAGTTCGGGGAGAGAAACACGGCCTATTTCCATCATCAAGTCAATGTTCGGAGAAGGCGTAACAAGATTCTGGCTCTCCGTGATACTAATGGAGACTGGGTGGAGGACCCGCAGGCCTTATCTAACCTTGTTTTTGATTTTTTGGCTCGGCTTTACTTGCAGGATGATTGGTCTTATGAGGACAGACTGCCTAGGAACGCTTTCCCCAGACTTGAACAGGCGGATTGGATGCTTCTTCTGCGCCCGTTCACAGTCATGGACATCCACAAAGCCATCTTTGATATGAAGCCGTATCAGGCTCCCGGTCCTGATGGGTTTCAAGCGGTGTTCTATCAACAGATGTGGCGAGTGGTGGGTAAGGCTTTAACCGATTTGGCTATCAACTTCTTCTCTACAAGTACCATTCCTGAAGCGGTTTCAGAATCGACGGTGGTGTTAATTCCGAAGGTGGACAATCCGGTGTTGGTCTCTCAACTGCAGCCTATCTCTCTCAACAACGTCAACCTAAAGGCCATCACCAAGGCAATGACCAACAGATTGAAGCCGATAATGAGGAAACTCGTCTCCCCAAGGCAGAGCAGCTTCATCCCAGGAAGGCAGACGACGGACAACATCATCGTGATGCAAGAAGCTCTCCACACCCTCGAGAGGAAGAAAGGGAAGAAGGGAGGGCTAATCTTGAAGATCGATTTGGAGAAAGCGTATGATATGCTGAGATGGGACTTTCTTCGTGACACTCTCAAGGAAGTAGGGCTGCCCAGCACTTGGATTAATTGCATCATGTACTGTGTGGAGCAGAACCGGATGAGGATTTTCTGGAATGGGGAACTGTCCCAAACTTTGACCCCGACTCGAGGAGTTCGTCAGGGAGATCCTCTTTCACCCTATCTCATAAGATTGATGAGGCAATTAATAACAGAAGCTGGAAACCCATTCACCTAACGAGAGGAGGACCGCCTCTTACTCACCTCTTTTTTGCGGACGATCTCCTTTTGTTTGCCGAAGCAGAGATGAGGTAGATCCGGGTCATTCGTCAGTGCTTAGACGACTTCTGCTCCAGCTCTGGTCAAAGAGTGAATTACAGCAAGTCTTTGTTGTACGTGTCGCCTAACGTGGATCGGTAGAGAGCAAATCTTCTTAGTAGACGAGCTGGTATTCCTCTGAAAACGGAGCTTGGAAGATACTTGGGGCTTCACACCATTCATGGAAGGATCACTCAAAGCCGCTACCAGAGCCTTCTGCTTCGCATTCAGAAGAAACTAGCACCTTGGAAAGCGAGAAGACTTTCTTTTGCGGCTAGACTTACTATGGTTAAATCTGTTTCGTCCTCTCTTCCCACTTACTGCATGAACACTGAATTAATCCCTAGTTCGGTTTGTAAGTGTATTGACAGGATGAACAGGGACTTCATCTGGGGAGACAAGGATGATAAGTCGAAGATGCACCTGGTGGCCTGGGATAAGCTGACTCAGCCCAAATTGCAAGGTGGAGCTGGCTTAAGATCTCTCAAGCAAGCAAACCTTGCGATGCTTGCGAAGAGCGGGTGAAGGTTGATGAAGGAGAAAGACAGCCTGTGGACTCAGTTGATGACTGCTAAATATGGTCGACAGCGGGAGAATCTTGATCTCATCCGCCCAATTCAGGGAAGTTCCTTTACCTGGCGTAGTATTGCTAAAGCTTCTAGTCTTCTCAGGCAAGGTTGTGCTTGGAATATCAAGAACGGTAAACGCACTAAATTCTGGCTGGATTCGTGGGTTTTGCAGGTTCCGCTCAAGCTGGTGGCTGTCGATCACATCCCAGAATCCCTTGTAGCTGAGCCGATCGAGAAGTTTGTGAAGGATGATGGAGCCTGGCGGACGGAGCTCTTCAAGGACCTGCTCCCTAGCGACGTCTTCCAGAAGATTCTCAGCATTGGTGTCGACAAGATGGCCACTGACGATGACACCATTTTCTGGTCAGCCTCGTCGGATGGGAGGTTTTCGGCGAAATCTGCGTATTCTCTCCAAAACAAGCGACCCCCTGAAGCAGATGAGGATATTTGGAAGATTATCTGGCGCCATCCCGTCCCAGAAAGGATCAGAAGTTTCATGTGGCTTTCAGTTTTGGGAAAATTGGCGACAAACTCCCTTCTCTTCTCCAGGAAAGTGATTACCAACCGGAATTGTGCTAGTTGTGGGGACCCGGTCGAGTCCCTTATTCACATTTTGCGGGATTGCCGAGCGGCTCGGTACTTCTGGCTTCGTCACATACCGGTGAGTAGGCAGTCCAACTTCTTCAACTTGGATGAAAACAGCTGGTTGCGCGAGAACCTCAAGAGTAGCGAGCTCATGGGCTCGGGCATGACCTGGTCTGCTTTCTTCAGCATCGCAGCATGGCTTATCTGGAAGAATAGATGCACGACATGTTTCAAAGGTCCGAGCTCTGCTCTCTCCTCTCCGTCTCTTGAGTTTTTGATTATGGCTAAGAGCAAACTTTGGCATGAGGCTTGGCAAGCTCCTTCTCCCCTTCCCAATGGTAGAGGGACTGTGACTGAGCGGACGATGACGATGGTTGGGTGGACCCCCCCCCCCCCTCGATGCTTGGTTGGATGACCCTTAATGTGGACGGGGCCTCTAACGGCAACCCCGGAGCTGCTGGAGCTGGAGGGGTTCTCCGCGACTGGACAGGTAAATGGATTGCTGGCTTCACTGCGAACATCGGGACGGCGACTGCAGTTTTGGCTGAGCTTTGGGCCGTGTTTCATGTATACCGGGAAGGGAATAGAGTCGCGGACTGGCTCTCGAAGCACAGTCTCGTCTATCCCTACTGTATATATGAGGTTGCTAACCGGCCCCCGGAGTTAGCTTCTATTGTTAGAGAAGATGCCATGGGTGTGTCTTTTGAGCGCCGGATTGTGGTGCCTCATCTTTCTGCCCTGTAGGGCCCCGCTGTAACTTGTTCTTGGCTTTTGCCTCCCTTTATGCAAAAAAAATATATCTATTATTTTTAATGATAGGTCTAACCCTCGAACATTTTTTTATTTTATTGGCTAAACATTTGCAGATTTTCTTAGTAAAAATATTTGATCATTGCATAATTCTAAATTCTGATTTTCTAAACCTTAAACCACAATTCTTGAACGAGTGAATCCTACACCCAAAGTCAAATGAGTAAATCCTAACTCGATTAACCTTGAACCCTAAGACCTAAGATAAGATAAAATCCATTGTCATAGAAAAGAAATCCCCTCCCTCCAATCCAAAAAGAGCAATTTTAAAACACCATCTTGTTAATCCTTTTACAGTGCTAGAGCCAGTCAAGTTCGAACTTTGGGTTCTTATCTTCATTTCTCTGGACTCTTACAAATTTCAATGTCGTTTTATTTGTGCAA